TGCGACTAAGCTTATAGAAACGCAAAGTCTCTTCATCATCCTTGAACTTCTCCAAGTCAACGCTGAACAATCTCTCATCCAACAACTTTTGATTGACTGCCAAAAGCTTTTGGTTGACAGCCAATTTCTCCTGCTTAATGGCGTTCGCCATATCCATCTTCTTCATCATCTCAGAGTATTCGTCTGCTAGCTGTTGCTGGTTTGTTTCCCAGTTAACCAAGGTATCAGTGATCTTCTTGTCCATAGAAGCCTGGTTCTTGCTCTTTTTGCGTCCCTTAGGACGCGCAATGATGGATCCATCACTTTCACCATCTTCATCCTCAGCAATCACTGTTGAGGTCCCAACCTCAGTAGCAGCAGAGCTACCAGGAGCACAAGAAGCGGTAATTGTTCTTTTGGATCCTGCCTTTACGGCCTGTTTTCTCACGAGCTTGGCGTCTCTTCTTGCCATCTCATCATTCCACTTTGGACTATTACGAAGTACCAAAAAACAATCGTAAAAAGCGAAATGAACACGGTATTTTGTTTGAAACAAATTGAAAGCATCCCCCAACTATTTGTTAAATTATTTGAGTTAAACTACTATATCCCTTTATCGATAGTTATATGATACGTACTTCATCTGCAGCAGCATTACCGCTTTTTTTGCGTCGCTGGATTGCTGCGACACAGCCGCAGTACTTGCTGACAGCAGCAGAAATGTTCCCCCAATGGTTTTTGAAGGCCTTCTCGTTTCTTTCTGGCCAGTCGAGCTCACCCTCCGTCTTGAAGTCGTTCATAATCAACTTCCAGAACACTTCCGCCTTCATCAAATTACCATGGACTGCCTGCTCCGAGATGCGCAACCATGACTTGCACACCTGGACATTCTCCTCGTGTGTCCAGCGGAAACGCTTCAACTTGCTGGTATCGGAAGGACCAGCATCCTCATTGCCACTTTGCTCGTGGTCGTCAATTCCATGGACATTACCATCATCACTGGCATCGTTACTAGAATAGTTGCCGTTGTCGAAGTCAGAATCGTTGTTATTGCTCATTTTTATTAAAAAAGGTTATAGAGATAAAAAGGGGTATTTTTTAACGTGCGATCGGACTTAAATGTTCCAAACCTTAATTTCATTTCAATATTTTTATTTTCGAAATCGTGACATGGTGCCTTTTTTTTTTTTTTGAAATGTCTGAAGGTAGGCTTGTACATGCCAAGATCCTTGAAAATAGAAGCTCTTTAAACTCAGTCATAAAAAAAGGAAAAAAGAAAAGTTTATTAAATGTTTTCATCAAAAGTTACCTTTCGATGTGAAAGGTAACTTTTGGTTACAAATTTGTAAACATCACCAGCCACCTCTCCACCGTCGTCACACCTGCTGTAGGCATCAATATAATTCATGCATCGCTGAAAATACCGTTTGATTTTGGCGACATCTCCAGCCTTGTCCAAAAACCCGGGAATTTTGGCCTCAAGTGATTTGAATGTGTAATCACAATGAAGACGAGCCTCTCTTTTAGCTCCACCCCAATACATCTCAATCCAATTACATTCACAATGGTACTTGGGGTAGAGTTCAAAGATGTGACCCGCCTTCTCCACTGTTTCTTGAAGCGCCGTTTTTTGGGCAAGAAAATCTGGACGACTGGCTAAAAAATGCCTAGCACAGCACATAGATTTTCTGCCCGGGAAAGGATTCTTGCAATCCACCTTCCAATCTTTCCCCTCTAAATCAGCACCGAACCATTGCTTTCTTTCAGCAAGAATATTGCGAATACCTGATTAAAAAATAAATAAATTATCTCCTAGCTTTATAACATAATCAATTATTTACCTTTAAAGTACCTTTCTTTACGAGTAATTGTTTTCCCCTTTCTATCTCTAAGGGTACTCACCTTCTCAAAAAAAAAGTCCTGCTTTAAAACCTCTCCGCTAGTCAATGTAACTGTCGTAGGACGAAACTGAAATTTTTCAGTTACTGGCCATATCTTCTCCTTCAATGTCATTCTTGAGGCAACCAGAGCATCTTCAGCAAATGCGGAATGGTTTGAGCCGTTGTCAAACAAAAATACACCAACGCAATTGGGATGGAGCAGCTCAAAAAGCTCAATTGCGTCATCTTTGAGCTGCTCGACCATGTGTTTATAGGTCCACCAACCTTCTCTATCACCACCGGCCTTAAAGTACCTTCTTGAGGTCCAAGGGCCACTCTTCATCGTTCCATGACAAGGGCACTGGAACTCACTGATCATGATGGAAGATCCAGGCCCTTTTTTACGAATGTAGTTTTCGTCGCTAGTAAGCCAGAAGTCGCTTTTTCCATCGTTTGCATAAAAAGTGCTTTCATCGTGGGTTACAAAAACAATCTTCTTTTTACCATCATTCAAAACAGGTTCCAGCACCTCTTCTTGGTTGTCACCTTGGTAAAATTCAGAGCGCTCCATGTATTTTAACATGCGTTTACTCCGAGCTTGTCTATATTCGACGACATCAGGTCTCTCGTGACCATCGAAAAAAATAGCCTTTTTGTTTTTAAGGTAATAATAGCCCCATTCGTAAAGATATCTGGCCACCGTAGTTTTACCAACGCTTTTAGTAAACCGAGAGTGGCAGGAATAACGTCCTCGTCGATAAATTTTTTAATATTATCTACTGTTCTATAATTGGCAGTAGTCCTCTTAATCATATCCAAAACATTGGTCTTAAAGTCGTTATCAGCTAAGAAAGAGAGACGTTTAGCATGAACACCTTGACTATGGTTGGACAAGACTTGATTTTCAAGGTATTCATTTGCCCACTTGATAATTGCTTTATGTCTGTAAAATTTGGAGCAATTGGGCCAAAGAGAATTTGCTGATTTCTTAGCTGCCTCGTGTTTTTTCAAACCTTCCAATCGGTTTTGAAAGTATTGCTGTATAGACACATAGCGGATATGATTGTATGAATTCACGTTATTACCATCGAGCGATTTGTTCATTACTGGCTTAGCAATAATTGGCATATCCTTGAACAAAACTCTAATTTTTTCAAGCTCTTTCTTGGTATGAGCCACGTACTCTTCGTTTTCTTTAGCGCGAGAGTCATAAGAAATAGTGACACCAAAATTCAAAATAGTATTAGCAGGTTCGACAGTCTTTGCTTGTTTTTTTTTCTCCAAATAGTTACTGCTGAAGTCTTATTGTAATGACCATTTCTAGGTCTTTTGGAAGATGATCCATCATCGAAAAGTGCTTCATTGATGTTTTTTGGTGTGGCAATACGCTCCGTATGGTTGAGAAGGTCGTTGGTATCCTCTTCCCAGACAATCCAATCTTCTTCGACAGTTTCAGCTGTTTGTTCCATAATTTTACCAGTTGTATCTCTTAATCTATTGCGATTTGCTAAAGTTTTTTTACTAGGTGCAGGCATTTTGATGTAGTATGTAGTACAATAAAATAAAAAAGGTTTTTTTCTGTTCAAGAAATTTAAACGTGAGTTTTGCCGAGTGGCAGTATAAATAATATCAAAACCCTGTTTTACATCATGTTCAAAATGTTAGTATATGACATAAAAAGCTACTTGAAGTCTCCCCAAATAATGTTAATATATGTTTTAACAACATTTCACAAGTTTTATTTTTTTGATATCTTTATTTTTGGAGCTTCTGAAGGCTCTGCAATGATTGATAACCATAGACGTCTCATAATTTGTCCAATGATGATTGATTTTGAGTTTAAAATAGACGGATAACAAGAATGTCACTTTTTTACGAACAACGTATAATAAGAATGTTTGAAGAACCCCAAATAATATTAATGTATGTTATGTTAGTATGCATCTACTTTGGGTTTTTTGATCCGATAATTTTTCGAGCTTCTGAAGATCATTCAAGACTGACATTCAGGCCTGGTTTTGCTTACCCAGGGAAAAAATTAAGACTACGCCTCTCTTATAAATACCGAGAAAGTAACAATGTATTTGCAATCAAATTGAAAAGGAAAGTAGTAATCCAATTCCCCAAATATCGTTCCTAAACATATAAATATTATTGACCTTCTTTCCGTTTTCAAATATATTTATTTTTGGGCCTTCTGAACGTCTTTGAATATCTTTTCGAAATTAATCCGATTGTTATGACTAAAGCCGGAAATTCAAAAGAATTTGACAGAAAATACTAGAAACTTAGTAACTGTAGGCGCTATATTATTCGTTGTTGTAGGTTACACTAACTGGGATCGGTATTTAAATTATTAACACACATAGACAATATTCTTTCAATATTTCCCCCCTACAGCCAAGTCCCAGCCAAAAAATTTAAAAACCGACCAACTTTGAGAGTCTTCAGACGACTCAAAATTAAAGATATCAACTTCGACCTCCCCATTTTTTGTTCATAAACATCTACTTAACAATAAATGGGGAGGTCGAAGTTGATATCTTTAATTTTGAGTTGTCTGAAGCTCTTGAAAAAATGTCTAAAATTTTGGAACATTTAAGTTCGATCGCACGTTATTGATGTTTTTTTTCCTCTAAAAAAACACTTCGGATTGGGAAAATTTATGGGAAATTTTGATTTCCCAAAGTTAAGGGTTTTTTATCGGGCACTGCTGGGGGTAAAAAACTTTTAATTTTCCCTTAATTAGCGGGCAAATCGACTTTTATCGGGCACTGCTGGGGATGCTCTTAACATATAAAATCGCATATAAAATCATTCCATTGATCCTTGATCCACAGGTACATAATATCATAACACTCATAAAAAATAATAGCATAAAAAATATCCTGAGTTATACATTTACAACTCAGGGTTACTAGATATTCCAATAGAAGATCCCATTTCGAATAATAGATTGGCTACACTGATAAGGCCCATCAGTCATTAGTAGATACAGCCAATAATACCAGGTGAACACAAACTAGCCCATAATTTTACCCACGCTTTAAGTAACTATAAATACCCCGCTTTCTTTCAGAGATGAAAGAGGGGTTCACTGTTAATAAGAATAAAAAAGCCTACAAGCAATATTAATCTTATTCTTCCTGTTTTTTTTATCTTTTATTTTTCCGTGTCAAACAAACCGTTTTTCCACATCCAGCTTTAGACGACGATGCTAAAATTATCCGTTTAAATCTCAGTCACCTCCCCTTTTGCTACGAGGAAGAAATCTTAATTGGATTAAGAAAAAGCTTGAACATCTTTGGACGTATTGTTGATGTAGGAGTCTCATTAGAAAAAGATTTTGGGACCTACGTCGGACAAGGATATGCGGTCATTGACACTTACCAATCAGCCGAAGCTGATATCCCGTATGCTTTACTGACGCACAATGTTCCTTGGTGTAACTCACCATTTCGTGGATTTAGAGCTACTTGGCATAATATGCCACCCTTCTGTACCTACTGTCACGATGCTACGGGTACACATAATGCTCGAGACTGCCCGAAGACACGCCACCACAAGCGTGCCGAAATCGTTCTTGTCAAGGCACAACCTAAATGCTGGGAGTGTGATAGCAGGGGGCATCTGCGATATGCATGTCTGTTAAAAAAGCCTCGTCGAACACCAACTTCACCAAAGTTTTCCGATTACATTACACCTGATGTGGAGCCTACATCCCGGGATTCGATGGATATCACTGAGCCGGTAGTTCTTGATTCCGACGACGAAGACATGAACATGAATGCAATTCCAGAACGGAAGGATAGTTTATCCGATATTTAATTAGATGCCCGTCTTTTCGATGTGCTGGATAATACATATCTATCTACGTCAACTCCAATGGAAACTGTTGCATCAGGAGATTGTACCAACAGCAGCCCAAACAATGATGTAAGTTCAATGGAAGGTCAATACAACTGTACTCCGAGAACACCGTCATTACGCCCTCGGAATACATCTACATCTGACATATTCACAACCAGTACCGAAACTGGAATAATAACGAGTGAGGCTAACAGCTGTAAAAAGATGAAGATTATGCTCACTAAGAATCCTGATGGTACCTACAGAAGTACCAAGCTTACTGCAATAACAGGCCTGAAAAAATTCTAGTTGCGACGTTGACGAACATTTCTAACGTTTGCTTGTTCATTTTGGGTTCTTGCTCTTCTCTGTTGGTTCTGGGGAACCTCTCCACGTCGAAATCTTGGGAGAATGCCACTTCCAGCACGAAGTGATCGAACAATACATATCAACCATGTTCAAGAAAGCAGCCATATCACGATTCCATAGACGAGGAACAATCCTATTTGTTATTAGTAATGGATCTACAATTTTGATTTGTACATCTGTCACAAGGAAAAAAAAAATTATTAGATAAAAAAATTATTAACAAGTAAAATCAACATACCTTAAGGGACTATGTCTGATTACACGAGTATTTAGTCTTTGTCTATGAGGGCGCGGGTCATAAATCATCGGAAACGTTTCAAGACTTCTACGTTTACAAGCTGGGCAGCACTGAGTTGTCCTAAATTCACCAATTAAGTAAACCCTTTTACAAGCTTTTTAAAGCAACCGACGGAATCAAGGCCTCGGACAGGCTCATGAAACCTTGCATCAGGAGTAGACTAGCTACCCATAACATAAACAGCTTCAACACCGAACTGTTCATCTAGTTTTGAAATAAGATCCTCGTTTCCTTGCTGCTTTTTAAAATAGGCAGATAGCCGCAGTTTTCTGTGCATGGGATGAGCAGTACGATGATTAATTCGGAAGTTGACATATTGGTTTTGGATGATGCCTGTCATATTAGACCTGTTTGCAAGATAATGTTCAACTTTATCTCTATTCAAGGAATCGTGATTAATCAAAAGCCTTTCGGCAGTTGTTACTCTAGCGGGTTTCATAGTTTCACAGCTTCACGGATCGACGGTATTTTTTAATTTTTTCAAACTTGTGTTGGTACTGTTTAGTAAAGTGAAACTTGACTGGATTGTTTGCGGTTGACTTTTGATGCACAAAGAATAGCAAATCTCTTCGTCCAGGATCAATCGTAACACATCTTCCAACAGTTTCTTGGGCAATCTCTCGTAAAATGTACTGATTTGGTTCTACCACAACAGCAAAACGATCGGTGTATCTGCTCTCACGATCCCCTATTTTCTTGATCACAGTTACACCTACTCCATCCGTTTGAATAGTTCCTCTAAACTGGAGCTCGCCATTTTCTTCGTGTTTAAGTGAATCCGGGTTTAGGTTAATCACTTCACGCCAAAGTGCTATCTTATCTTGACGATTAGTCCACCGACGACCAAGAATATTTTGACAAAGAATTTTTGAATTGATGGTTGTGTAGAAAAGGAATCCAAGAGCGGCGTAATGGGAAGCAATTAAACAGAGGTAATTCTATATCAATAAATGATAAAACCAGTTTGTAAAAAGCCCGCATATGCTCAACTGGTTTTGCTTTGGAATCATAATAAATGCTATTACCACGAAACCGGTAGTCAGCGGGATAGCTGGTTAGGACAGGGCAAAGAATTTCAAGAGCCTTATTGTAGATAGGGTCCCCAAACTGCTCTCCCTCTAATACAAAATCTTGAGGAAACCTTCTAAGTATAATTTCCTTAAATCTTGTCCCCGGCTCAGTTATTTCTCTGTACATTTTAGATTTTATCAGTGCTTCAATTAGTCCCTCACGTCTTCTATAAGCAATTAATTCGGCTTTTCTTTGTCTGATACCGAGTAGATCACAGCGGCGCACTAGGTGGTAAAAATGTACCACCGGTTGATTTTTTGAACTTCCGGATGTGAAATTGTACCACCGGTGGTAAAAATGTACCACCACAAACTTGCAATTTCTATTTTTTTTTCCTTCATATTTTGAGAGATTATGTCAAAACTTGTTTGGGAGAGTTAAGAATTGAGATATCTCAGAATTCGGTGTTGATAAATTGCACCTGGGGTAAGCTTTCCCGTGATATCATGATGAAATACATCATCATGTTGAAACGATTAGCCAAGAAAGGTAAAATAGACTTGGATAGATGCCAGGACTACTGGGGAGCAGAAAGGTTGTTGGCAAGTGTAGCTCACAGCAGACTGTGAAAAAGTGTAATACAATGACTAAGCAATCACACTTATTTATTATTATGTTTCTAATGCGTTTTCTGTAGAACGTGTCAACCCGGGAAGCAGGATCTTTGTCGAATGACGAAGAGACTATTCCCTCTATTGTTAAACTAGAGGAAGAACGGAATAGTCCTCTGCATGGCGATGAGAATACTGGTGTCGAAGAGCTCGAACAGACTTTAGAAGATGACCGTATCTACCGCCCTAGAAGAAAAATAGCCAGAAGATAACTAAAATTTTTATAAAATTCGCACAATAATCTAATAGATTAATAAACTTACTTTTTTTTTTTTTTTTTCCTCTTTCTCTTTCTTTCTCTTCGTAAATTCTTATTTACATTACCTAAGTTTTGTAATATATGATATGAGTACAATCTCGCAGATTTTAGAAAAGACAAAACAATAAGAAAAGGTAATATAGCATATATAAATACTCATCCTATTCCTGGCTTATAAGTTCCGTAGAAAGTTTGTATATTCGCTTTGTGACATATGGTGAAGGTACTAGATAATATTACTTTTTCATTACGTTTTTTAACTGTGTTGTATAGATTCAGAGCTTTTTCTGTGCTGATATTAAAGGCTTCAAGATGTAGAAAAGCTTCTTCCAGGCTGATGAAATGGTTTTTAGGCCATAGGAAATTTTTTTAGCCTGCATTTTTTTTTATTTTAGTCTGTATTTTCTAATTTTGGGGCGATTTATTTTTATTTTAGGCTACATTTTTTTATTTTAAGCTGTATTTCTCAGGGAAGTCCAACTTTTTTCTTAGTCTTATATGCTGTTATATTTTATGATTCCCTTGGTTCTTTATGAGGTTTATTGAAAGACTTTTTTTGCCGTTATATCTTGTTGATAGTAAGTTAATTAAAATTTCTATTTAAATGTTTTCTGGCGATGATATGGATGCACGTTCAGAAGCTTCGAAGTGAAAATACAAAATAAAATACCAAAAAAAACGTTTTCTATACCCCTATATTTTCACAGTTTTTGTGTATTTATACGTAAATTTTTTTTCGATTATATAATGCTTTAAAGTAATAAAAGTGCAACGGAATGATTAAAAAGACATTTTAAAGTGGTAAAAATATGCAACAAAATGAACAAAAAGACATTTTAAAGTGGTAAAACAAACAACGGAAGGAACAACATATCAGTTAGTGTTCGAACTTTTTGAGCTTGCACCGATCTTGCGCCAGTTCGAACAAAGCTCGAACCGAGTTTTTGTACTCGAGCTTGCGCCACTTTTTTTGGGTTCGAGCGAGCTTCGATCGATGCTCGCTCGAAGCTCGCTCGGCTAAAAAGTCGATAGTAGTCACTTTAAATGTAAGGTCCTTGAAAGACTACAGATGGCATTTCCCCTTGATTTTAATCTTTTCTTCCCTTTACCATTTTTTTTTATTTATGCTCTAATAATTCCAATTAAAATGCTTTGGCCTTTATTTAATTGTACAACCAACAAACACATTTAGCATAGAAAATGAAACAGTGTTGCACACTATACCCAACTAAGCCAATTTTTTACAGCAACCATAGTAACATGACGTAGCAGAATTAATAAAAACTTTCATGTTCACAAATCCAAATGTATTATAATTATAGATGCAGTAATAGTTTGATATAATTATCCGAATTTGGTGTTAAGGCTGGTAAAAAAAAAAAGTTTTCTTTTTCTTTTCCCAACTTCGATTTCAATAAATAACATTTTTATTATCATAATTTTCTGTAATTAACATCACTTTGACATGCACTTTGTGTAATAAAAAGGGCGAGCGATTTCGAGCTATCGTATTCGCAGCCGATCCGAGCTTAAGAAACTTCGAGCGAGCTCGAGCTGCAAAAAAACGCATCCGAGCGATCTTCGACTGGAACACGATCGAAGCTCGCTCGAGAGTTTCGATCTTCATTCCGAACACTAGACCTGCCTCAAAGATGTCACGAAGAAACCTGTTGGTGTAATCCTCACTGGTGTCACTGCTGTTCATGAACGAGTTGTATACCCGTCTGATAGCCTCCTCACGAGAACGCTTGTTACCAAACTTCTTTTCAAACGTGGCCTTGGCTTCGGTCCAGTTCTTGCAGATTAGGAGATCAGTATCCACCCAAAGATCATAGTCATAAGACAATGCCAAAGGCAAGTAAATTCTCCAGACTAGTTCGATGTCACCGGTGGCTGTCTTCATCACCTTTTCAAAGATCTTGAGAAACTCCTTCGTAGTATCGTATTTCTTTTCTCCAGGGAAAAGGGGCAGTACTAGTGGAGGTTGGTTAAAACTTTGGGATATCCGAAGTGTTCAATCGAAGAGGTCTACTGTCATTCGCCCATTTAGAATGGTCAGTGCCTTTCATCCTATTAGAGTCAGCCTTATTCTCCATGGCAGCTTCAATGATGCTGATACGACTGTTTAATACGTCTACTCTGACCAAGCATTGGTCACATTCCGAGTCATCCTAACTGGTCGTTCCATTGTCAACAGCCTCAAACAAAACGTCAGCTCTAGCGAGCAAGCGCGTTCTTTGGTCCTTCAACTTGGCAAGAAGAGTGGCATTGGACGATCCATTGATTACGGAAGGGGTAGCAGACCAGTCAGTGCTACGAACAACACTGATTACTTCAGGTTCAACAACAGGGTTCACCTGACTTTCGACGTCAGTCATCTCGATATCCTCTTCACCAAGGATAGGAGCAGAGTTGGATTCCAAGGAACCAGAGACATTAGAGGCAGAACCTTCTTGAGGGGCTTGCGAGCCAGTAGGAGTAGATCCACGTGAAACAACAGAGTTGTTTTGGGGAGAGGAGATAGATTCAGATTGGTTTGACATATTGACGAAGAGAGTAATTGAAAAAAAATGTAGCAAAAGTAGGCTTAAAGAGGATAGTTTTGCAGAAAAAAAGGTAGAAAAAAACAATAGGATCAATTAGAATTCTTGTCAGAGTTTATTGATGTTAAAGTTAACTAAAGATTTAAAAAGAGGAAAAATAAAGAGTATTTATAATAAGTGGAGTGGACGAGACTGAGGATACTACTCTTAACTATGAGTATGCTATCAATAACAATATCTATATTGGACAATTAGTGCTACGCATAGTCAATAGAGAAATAATAACAATAACATGTCTTAAGTTTGGACATTGGTGTTACGATACCGTGACACTTTAAAATAGTGACCGGCTTTAGCGAATTCCTTTTTTATGCCTGATCATGATTTAGCTATCATTTATCAGTGATGATGAGATATGAATTTATTATGTATAATCTATATGTGTGATTTAGCACACGATTGAGACATTGCCTGATATCAACGTTCTCATCTTCTTGGATGGCACGCAAAAAAATTGTATTTTGAGAATGAGTGTGCATGTGTAGTGATGTTGTGGGCTGTCACTACATATTTTTCGAGCCTTTCATGTCGCTCTGGTACCCAACCAATACCATCAATAGAGGTTTAACAGATATAATACGATCACCAGGAGCCAAAGAGCTAGATGTACTCATATTGCTTCCAGGTGTACCCGGCTTACCAGACAAGGATCTATCAGAGTCCATGCTGGTAAAAAAGGGCAGTTATTTGAAGTAAGAAGTTTGCTACACACCCAGAGGAATGTTTTGCAGACCATTTGGTAATGGGGGTGAGCTGGTGGGTCTTTGGGGGTCTAAAAACGATATAATAGCGATTACGTAGCATCAAAATAATAAAAGTTTATTGGATAAAAATGTATACAAATAATCATAAAAAAACTGTTGCTTTGGATGAGGATGTCCAGCCGTAACGCGATAAAAGCAAATACCAAAAGATAGAAGAGAAAGACACTATTGTAAAAAGCATGTTAGAAAACCGAAGGGTAGTATTGGCATTAGCCTAAATACGCGTACCTTGTAACTTTACGAGAGGGACAAGCAGAGGAAAAATTACACTAAAAATTCATTTTAGAAAGGAAAAATGATATAAAAAAGATGGAAATGTCATACCATACTAGGATTCAGAACGCCAAAAGTGAAAAGCAGCTTAAGAGAAGATATAATATGTTAATAAATGCACTAAAAACAAGATTTAACAAAAACGCGTGTATATTACCCACAGTACACAAAGCAATACTTGCATTCAATTTTCTGTTGATTAATGAACTGTTAATCAGGTTCTTATAATATGTGTATTAATTGCCTTAAGACGATGGCTTCTTAAAGACGAAACGAAAGTTAATCATATTTTTTATTAAAAAAGGGAGATAGAAGGGAGAAAGAAGGCAGAAAGAAGGGAGAAAGAAGAGAGAAAGGAGAAAAAAAAGAAAAAATGTGATTTAAAAGTATCAGCATTTTGTTACACTACATGAGACCAAATCTGTAAATGAAGGCAGTTAAAATTTTTTGTCAAACTTCGTAATTTACAATTATACTCACAACGCAAAGCAACGTCTTTTAACGAATTCTCTATTTACAACGATGATACTTACTGCACAATTTGTCACATAAATCTCACAACCAATACTGACCTTAACCGTCATCAAAGAATCATCCATGGGCGTGCAAGAAACGCACATGTTGAGTAAGAATTCACCGCAAAATTTCTATGGCGGTCAATTTTTGATCAAATAATAACCCGCAAAAATGCGATGAATTTTTGACCCCAATCAACGGGACGGCGGTCAATTTTTCACCGTAATCGCGGCGATGGCGGTAAATTTTCACACTTTTCGACCGTAATCTTCGCGAATGCGATCAATTTCTTCACTTTTTGACCGTAATCTTCGCGAATGCGATCAATTTCTACACTTTTTGGCCGTATTTATCAAGAATGCGATACTATTATTGGTCGTATTTATCACGAATGTCATCAATTGTTTTACTATTATTGGCCGTATTTCAGCGGTATCCTTAAATTATCCCTTGCTTATCAAAATTTATACCCTTGTATTATGAACAGTTATGTGTTTATGTTATGAAAATTTTTATTTATTTTTTATTAAATGTTTATAAAATAATAACGGCGAAAGGGATTATGGATTATGAGGTGAAATTACAGGTAAAATGGAAGGGTATTATACAAATAGAAAAGCTACATACCTAAAATTAAAGATATTAGTGGGTGGCTTATGTAGATTACAGTGCTGTTTTACTTACCTTATCTTATCGCGTGCTTTGTATTGACACGTAAGAGTATTATACGAATAGAAGAGCTACATATCTAGAGTTAAAATTATTAATGGGTGGCTTACACAGGTCACAATCACTTATTTATTTACCTTAGCATAGCCTAGCGAGAGTTTTGTATGCATTATATCTATAGAATACAGTGTTAGAGTATAATACAATCAAATATAATCACTGACTTACATTACAATTGAATGGTTACAACCAAAAAGAGCAGGTTTAGTTAGTTGCACAGAAGAATATTGAACTTACCTTCACGGATGCGAGAAGTCCACTAACTAGTTTACCTTATAGTTAGGGATGGGATGGGGGCTGGACATCTCTATATTTACATCAAAGCTAAATACAAAAAAAAAATTGTTAGGGGAAGAAAAGAAAAAAATAGAAGGTTTTTTATACAAACTTTTTTAGTTGACTTTTAAAAAAAACGGATCTAAGCATTACGAGACCGTTGATTTCGTCTTGTTTCACCTCCTGCATTTGAATTGGCAAGCTGTTTCTTCGCACCAGACACCCCCTCGGACACCTCCTCAGACACCTCCTCAGACACCTCCTCAGACACCTCCTCAGACACCTCCTCAGACATCTCCTCAGACACCTCGTCAAGCACATTGTCAAACACATCGTCAGACAAAGAGTTGAGAATGTCTCTGTTAGAAGAGACTGACGGAGCATCGTCGTCTGGCATTCTGACCCGCCCAAAAGAACTCAAAGTACTCATGCTGACATTGAATGCGGACGTGTTACCCAGAGACATTTCGGATAACCCCAAGCTGTCAAAGTTGTTGGACACGCCTGAGAAAACTGGACGTCGTACTGGCTGATCCTACAATAAGCTCAGTTAGATACCACATTATGAACCATTGTATACAAAAATATTACTTACTTTATCTGGGTCAGCAATTTGAATGGCTGAAATCAGCATACGACGTGCCATCCAGTTCTTTTCAGCCACGGTACAGTGGCATTACCGGGGTGTAAGCTTCTGCATCCGAGATCAACTGAGCGGCGAAAGTTGTTGGGAATGTGGAAATCGGTGTAGATTTATAAAATAAAAACAAGAAAATTATCAAACTTGCAAAAATTAACTCAGGCTTTATTAAACAAATAAAAGGGGGTCTTTATATACACATTATTTCAGACATTGATCACAGATGGGCTGATGACAGTCGAGGGTAGATTCACCCAGATAATACTCGGATGTAATGATTCCATAAAGAAAGGCCATAATGAGATGTCAATAACAATAACATTCATTCTTAAACTGTGTATGTCTTGTAGCACAATATTCAGGGGGAAATGTAGTTCTTAATTCAGATAGCTGTGGCACCTCAATGTGGCTGATGTAACCTTCATATGTTTTCATATCAATGTTATTATTTAAATGTATGTCTTATACTTGTATGAAAGATGATATGAGATACGCCTCGGTCACGCTTTCAAAGTCTTTGATCTTGCTCTGGGTATGCACTTCAATTGATCTAGATCCGAACATTATCATCATGGTATCAAGGTTTTCGACCAAACCATTATCCTTGTAGTGCGCAATTGCTCGACGGAGTTGATCTTGCAGATTCTCTATAAGTCGCAAAGTAAGAATATTTGTGGTATTTGACAAAATATTACAATGGAAAAGTAATGAGATAAAAGTATATTTTTATTAGAGGTAAAAATAGACTAAAAGCACTCTGCTGCTATGAAATAATTGATCCTTTTTATATTGCACAACTCTCCTGAGTTTTAATGATGAGTCAACTTTTCTGGTTTTGAAATAGATCTATACTCTGTTTCACTCCTTGGGTTAAATGAATACTACTCGTTAAAATTATTTCCAGTTAACGTTGTCCCATATCAGTGGATCGGGAGCATATGTATTCTAATAAATCTTTAGTATTACGAGACACTTATTTATCATATCATGCAACGGTTACTGTAAAAGATGCATACTTGTTTGTCAAGTGTAATTGGCAATAGAACATAATAATTGATCATTTATTCATTATTTGTGTAATGAATAAATTACAATCCCAAATATAAAATGTCTTAACAATATTTGTTTATTTGGTTGTAGAAGATAGGTATCCATTAATTTATACACTATTTCTTTATACTCTTTATCAGCAGTTTAATTATATGAATATATAAGTAAATGAACCATTTATATTAATAGCTGTTATATTCTCTCTCTGGGTAGCTATTCCGTTGAGAGAACTATTAATATTAAGTTTCTCTTTCTTACAATTTTTAATTTGATCTGAGAAGCTTCTCTTCTCGATCGGTGATATCGTAACTCAGTGGTATAGCATTCTGTATCCAACTGTCATTCGTATATCGTATTTAGGCCAATCATGCAATCTTTAATATAGAATTATGTACTCGATGTAGGAGAAGTTGTATAGCAGTTTACAAGCGTATGCTGATATGCAACATCAAAGGTTGTTTTAATTTCATAGTTTATTTATTTAAACGATACGAGGCTTTTTCAAAGCGCAGCGTACCGAACGATAGTGCAGGTCAAAAATTTACCGCAGCGCAGCGAAGGTCAAAATTTTTACCGAAACGGAGGTTTGGTTTGAAAAAGCCTCGTTATTCTTAAGTAAATCGTACCCAAATACGACACCATGGCCGGAATATTTGGTTACTGAATATTACACGCACTAAACTTTCTCTTTGGCATTTACGTAATGTCATATGCGGAGATGAATTTAGATCCTCACTTACTTTTGTTTTTACAAAGTAAGGCAGGAATTACTTCATAACATATTTATTTAATCAGATATTACGTATAACATTATATCATATTCCTCTAACGCGTCACATATATTATCCGAAAGCCATCTAATCATTTAGTATAAATACCTATAGTTTTTGCTAGTAGAATTCCTTAATCTAAATTTCCTCAAAATAAAAGATGTCGTATTTGACGCCTAACTCCACGAATACAATTACTCTTATCTTGTCACTCAATTATAATGCATATAAACTATGTATTATAAGTACCATATTGCGAATACATTCCTATTGGTACGACACAGTACCAGCTCCCTCATATGTCAAACTGAGTTCAGATTTCATAATCATTCCTGGATTGGTCGAGTAGCCGCCGAATCTTCTAGTTTCTCATAAATTTATTTTAGTAATCCAATCAAGGACCCTGTCATTGAATGGATAATCTATAATGCTCTATAAATGCCGGGTATGGGTCAACGAGCTTCTTGTATATAACAATAAGCTATGTTTCGTATGTAACTGATTTCTAAATCTAATTCTACCATTTCCCAGTTTGCGGGTAAATATTCAATTCGATCTGCGCAGGAAAAATCTTGAAGTAATAATTGAATATAAAAAGGACCTCTATTTTTATCATGACAAACTCTCCAACTTACAATAAAGGATTATAGAGTCTCATTTCTTTACTTGCTTTATTTTCCAATTTACATTTCCCTTTTTATTCTCAATTATCACAAAAGACATACAAAGTTCTAACAGTATTTTCTTTTGTTACCTTAATTTAATTTTTATCTCCATCCCGAACACATACTCCGGCTTTGTTAGAAGCAAATTCTCCAGAGGAAAAAGAACAATCAATCATTATGAGAAGAATTTTAAAACGGTTTTACCATGAATACAAAAATTTAAAGCATGATATTTCGTGTTTTTAAAACCCAATATGTGTGAAAAAGTGAAAAAAAAAAACTCGACATGATCAAAAGCTCCTCCACTTTTTTTTCCCGAAAAAATTTCGAGTTTTTGATTAGTTGATTTAAAAGACAGAATGTGTAAAAAATGTGTAAATCTGGCGGGGAGAACAGAAACCCGTTATTATATATTTGTGATCGTTTGCTGTTCATTGCAAAATGTATGAATAAAAGATCAATCACAACTATTGTCTTTTACTGATAATTAAACATGACAAAAAAGTATGCATTTTTAACAGTAACCGTTGCAGGACCCGATAATTAGGTGTCTCATAACACTACAATTTTATAAGAATACTCTTGCTCTAGATCCACGGATTTGGTATAGCTGGAACTGAAAACAAAAACATTATATAGTACACCTAGGCTAAAAAAACTTACTTAAACAGATTAAATGCGGACGAATGGGCGAATAGTCATCTGGAGGTAAGCGTCCCGTTCAGATCTGAGCGGATAGCCGTCCGTGAGCGAGTATCCGTTAATTTTGGGTAAATAAACAATGGTACACAAAAAATAAAATTACTTCATTTACTCAAAAGGGTAACTATTCGTCCAGGGGTAACTGTTCGTTCATTCTGAGTAAAATATAAAGGTTGCACAAAAATGTAAGCTTTTTTATCCGTTACATTTACCTGCAGCAGACGAGTATCCGTCTATGGGCAAATACTTACTCACATTGAGTAAATAAAATTCACTTCATCCGTGTGGAAAAACGGTTTGTTTGACACGGAAAAATAAAAGATAAAAAAACAGGAAGAATAAGATTAATATTGCTTGTAGGCTTTTTTATTCTTATTAAAAGTGAATTCTTCTTTTATCTCTGAAAGAAAGGGGGGTATTTATAGCTATTTAAAGCGTGGGTAAAATTATGGGCTCGTTTGTGTTCACTTGGTATTATTGGCTGCATTTACTAATGACTGATGAGCCTTATCAGTGTAGCCAATCTATTATTCGAAATGGGATCTTCTATTGGAATATCTAATAACCTTGAGTTGTAAATGTATAACTCACGATATTTTTTATGCTATTATTTTTTATGAGTGTTATGATATTATGTACCTGTCGATCAAGGATCGATGGAATGATTTTATATGCGATTTTAGTACAATCCGTTCCACTGTCCTGCAGCAGACGAGCATTCGTCTATGGGCGGATACTTACCCAGATTGGGTGAATAAAAATTGAGATCCAAACCTTAAAATTACTCATTCATTTCATTTACCTGAAGCAGACGAGTATCTGTCTTAGTATCCTGCTGTCAAGAAGCCCCGTATACAAAAAAATTTATCTGCCTCCAGTCATCCCTCCGTCGTAACAGCAACCTCTAAAAAGTACATATAAACGGAGTCCTTTTTTTCCTTTTCTGTTTCCTTTTCCTTTTTCCTTTTTTCTTTTTTAGGGCCCTCACAAGCAACAAAATTATTTTTTTAAAGATCCCGATTAAGGACTTTATTATTATTTATTTTTTTTTGTGAAAGGTTACTTCAGACTTCCAAAAGAAAGCTTTTTCCGAAATCCATGGCGTTGCTTTTTATTGACCCTTTTTGAACGATTAAAATATAAAGTTCACTCAAAATGCTAACCTATCTGTTATTATTTTTCAAGGACTCTATTGTTTCGATATACTTTTTTTTCTAGAGAAAACAAAATGAACCTATCTCAAATTGTTACAGTAGTTGCTGAATCGCAATAAATTTTATTTGGACTTGATGATGATATAAATATGATTATGGAATCAGACATTTCTACACTTTACCAACAACAAAGTCTCGACTACAGTTTTATTGCATTCTCGATGTTGCCTGTTCCATCAGATCGTGAAACTCCCAGTGTTAAAGAGGTGCACTACCAGTAGAATTAGCATCGTCTCGTCTGGTTCTGAACGTATCACAGAGGCGAATCCACTTGTTATTCATCGCTGCAAAGTCCCTTCTACCGTTGATAGCGTCACTGGCATTAAAAGCATCTTCCGTTGCCTTGTTCAAATTAAGCTTTGCTTGAGGTGAGCGAATAACACCCACGTTTACAACGTAATCGGAAAACAACTCGATCAAAACGTTGGTGCTTGCTGAATCCCATATGACGATGGTAGTGTACTTTTGGAAAGGCATTTTGTTAAATAAAAATGAAGAGGATCACAAACACAACTCTTTTATCAAAAAAAAAAAAAAAAAAAAAAAAAAAAAAAAAACAAAAACATTGGTGAGTTCAGTAGCCCAATTTGGCTGATTTTTCATCT